TTACCCGCTATGCCACAGTGCCGGCCCCCCCTTGGTGATTTCTTAAAAGGTTAAATGCAACTTCACCGTGTGGCTTGGCCATCCCACTCCTGGCACACGCCCAGAAGTGAAAATGTGCGGGCACTCGGCCGAGTGGGCAAGCCGCCACTTGAGACATCTGCGAGCCACGTGGGAATGCACGGGTTCCAGTCCCGGTGCTGTTCCTGATTCCGGCTTCCGGCTAACAGGCACCTGGGAGGAAGCGATGATGGCCTGAGTCGTTAGTTCCTGCCACCCACGTGGAAGCCGGCACAGAGCTGCCGGTTCCTGGCATTCGCCTGGCTCAGCCCTGGCTGCTGAGGGCACCAGGGAGTAAAGCGACACATGAGAAACTCAGCTCTGTCTGCCTTTCAGATAAAGACTAATTCTTACAGAGGAGACACGGGACGCCCTCAGCCCCTGACCGGGTTCTGGCCCCAGCTCTGCCAGTGTGCACGTGGGAGGAGCAGGCGACGGCTGCCCCACGTGGGAGGCCCAGACTGCGCTGCCAAGCGCTGCCTGTGTGGGCATTCGGGCTGTTGCAGACGGAAGAGGTCTGCGTCTGCCTTTCAAATACATTTTAAAAAAATATTTATTATTTATTTGAAAGGCAGAATTACAGAGTGAGAGACTGATGTTCCATCTACCGGTTCACTCCCCAAATGGCTGCATCAGCTGGGGCTGCGCCAGGCTGAAGCCAGGAGCCAGGAGCTCCTGGGTCTCCCGTGGGCGGCAGGGGCCCAAGCGCCTGGTCGTCTCCCGCTGCTTTCTCAGGCCATTAGCAACACCTGGATCAGAAGAGGGGCAGCCGGGACTCAATCCAATGCCCACCGGGATGCGGGTGCTGAGGGCAGCAGCTTAACCCCCTACACCACACCAGTCCCAGGAAAGCCTTCTGCTCCCGGGCAGTTTAGAAAGACACCCTGTGCATCACGCTCATACATACATACATAAGTCATATATATAACACATATAACACATATGTTACATATACATAACGTTCCAATTACATGAAATACTAGAAAGAAAACTGGGATGGCTGTTGGGCACAGCGACTGAGATGCCACCTGGGGGCCAGCGCTGTGGCACAGCGGGTTAAGCTGCCGCCTGCAGCACCGGCGTCCCATATGAGCACGGGTTTGAGTCCCGGCTGCTCCTCTTCCGATCCAGCCCCCTGCTAATGCGCCCTGAGGGGGAGGCAGCAGAGGAGGGCCCAGGTGCTTGGGCCCCTGTACCCACGCGAGAGACCAGAGGGAGCGTCTGGCTCGGGAGTGAAGCAGGGGATGGGAGATCTCTCTATTTCTGTTTCAAATAATAAATAAGTAAGTAAATAACTTGAATTGTGGAGGTTTATACAACCCTGCAACTCACTGATGGTCACTCAAGTCCACACCCAGAACAGGTGCACGGGACGCCACGGAAGTCTCACTCAAGAACATTTCAGAAAACCCACAGAGGCTCTTTCGGGGCTCTGATCAGCAGGTGGGACACCAGCCAGGAAGCCGAGCTGCATAAAGCTGTGACCTCATTAAACCCTGCACGCAAAGCCCAGTGGGTTCCGGAAGGATCCTGTGCACGGACTGAGATGGTCACGTTTAGAACGAACGCAGGTGCTGCCCGCAGGACTGCAAAACCAGCAGAGAGAGGGAGGGCAGGTGGGCTCTGGCCCAGCCGAGGGGAGGGAGGCAGAGGGCAGCAGCGGGCCCCCACCTCGGGGCCGCCGGGCGGCGCACTCACCGTACGGCGTGCTGGGCCCCAGCTCGCTGGCCGCCTCAGCCATGTACTGAGCCAGCAGCTCCCCGTTGGTGACCCGCGAGGGGACCTTCCTGTCCAGCTTCTCGTACAGGAACTCCTCCACCCGGGCGCCTGCGGGGAGACGAGACAGCAGCCAGAGCCACAGGGTTCTCCGCTCCAAGCCCGAGGCCGTGGCAGCAGCCACAGAGCCACTCGGGGCCGGGACACGGGGGCGGCTGCCTGAGGCCGCGCACTGGGCACCAGGCCCTGCCCGCAGACACACACCTCCGGCCGAGCCCGGCTCCCCACCTCCCCGGCCTCGGAGCCCCCAGCCGAGCCCCCGCCCGCCGGCGCCCACTCACTGGGGTTGGGCTGCAGCAGCACCTCCGTCTGCCGTAGGATCTTCTCTGTCCAGTTCTTGGTGCTGTCCGCCCGGGCCAGGAGGTTTTCAAAGTGGGCGTCCAGCTCGGTCTTCTCGGCCTGACCGAATTTCTCCTCCGTGAACTGTCGGGGCAGGGCCGAGGTGGGAGGGCTCAGGAGGAGGGGCGGGTGGCGGGGAAGGGAGGGGAGGATGCCCCTGGCCCCCCTGCCAGCCCGCCCCCCCAAGCCAGGGGCCAGGGTCAAGGCACTCGCCCTGCACACGACGTACGGGGGCTCCCGACGCTCAGTGGCCGCACCAGGCTGGAAAGCCACGGCCTGCTCGGCTCAGTGTGCCCCCGTGTGAGCCCGGCTGGCTGACGCTGGGCCTGGGGCCGTGACAGCCGTCGCCTGTCACCCCTAAGAATGCACAGCACCCCACTATCTGGTCCCACCTCGAGCGGTGGGGGGTCCTCGGAGCCCGACTCTGACTACAGGACTCAGAATCGAGTCTCAGGGGACAGACAGGTGCAGGCTCCCGGGGGCCGCAGGCCAGTGAGTGGGACGCGCGCGGCCCCCAGACCAGGGGCCGCGTCCCTGTCTCGTTCTGTGTGGCCTTGGGCAAACGGCTCTCCTTGGCTGCAGCGGGGGCCAGGAAGCGCATCTCTGGCCCAGGCAGAGAGGGAACCTGGAGCTCGAGGCTGGGCTCGGTGTGGCCGCGGCGGCCGAGAGCCGACGGGTGGATGCCCAGTGCGTGGCTCTGGCTACCTGGTGTGCTGGCCGGGAGAGCAGCCCGAGGCCGCTCCCACCCCCACAGCGGGTCGGTCAAGCAGATGCTGCGTGAGGGGCAGAGCTGGCTGGTGTGGTCCGGGGGTCTGGAGACCCCTCCCGGAAGGCCTTGGCAGTGCTGATGTGCGCAGAGGCTGCAGGGAGCCCAGCAGCCATCAATTATGGAGCAGTGCTGGGCGCGGCACAGCCAGGGCCCGCAGCTCCCTGCCCCCAGCACCCCCCCCCTCCCCGGGACCGGCTGCCCCGGCTGCAGCCTCCTGCCAGGCTCACCTCACCTCTGCGGGTGCTGTGGGAGCCTCCTTCTCCAGATACGGAAACCAAGTCGCTCTGGGCCTCGGGTTCCCAGGGGGAGCAGAGGAGCAAGATCCCCCGGGAGCCCGGTGGGCGGTGTCCCCGTCCCCGGCGCCCAGAGGCCGCCCCCACCCTCGCCGTGGGTTCTCGGGGCTCCCACCCCGCACCCGGGCTTTCCCGGGCTTCCGCCCCACGTCCCCAGGCGGTGCCCCCGCCGCGAGCCGGCTCGTCTTACTAGCACCCTGCCACTAGTACTCACAGCACCAGCGCCCTCACTCCCGCCCCTCCCACCGCCACCTGGAACGCCCTCCCGGGACCCCCCCCTCGCTTTGCCAGGCAGCTCAGGGCCCCCCACCAGGAAGCCATCCCAGAACCTGGGGACCCTGTCCCTGCCCGCGGGGTGGGTGAGGCTCCTAAAGTCAGGCTGGGTACTTGCAGGGGGAGGAGCCGCCCTGCTGCCCACCCCGGGGCAGCCTGGCCCCAGACAGGTGCCCCCCGTGGCCCCTCCGCCCCGTTCCCGGTGAGAGGCGGCTCCCTGCAAGATGGCAACAGCAGGGGGTGGGCGTGCGCAGTCTGTTTATAAAGCTCCCAGCTCCCTCCTCCACCCGAGGCCTGGCCGCGCCGGCTCCCACTCCAGCCCAGGTGACCCCCGCGGGTCAGGTGGAGCGAGGCCCCAGCCCAGGCCTCCCCACTCCCGGGCCGAGCTGTAGCCGGAAACCGGCAGATCAGGTTCTTCCCGGAGGCGGGAGATAGTCCGGTTGCCATACCAACGCGGGCGGGTCCCCCACCCCTGCGGCCAGGGGCGGCTGTGGGGTGCTCTGGGGTGGGCTGGCCCACCAGGCTTGGGACACCAATCCTCAAAGGACCACGGCGCTCCCCAGTCCACACGGCTTCTGAGCGGCCAGGCTGGGGCCGGAGGACCAGGCTGGGCAGAGCCCCCGGCAAGGGCAGGGGCCACACCACAGGCCTGGCTCCCACACCCGCCCTCGGGGGCAGGCTGAGGTCGGCAGAAGGTGGCTTGCCCAAGGTCACAGGTGCAGGAGGAACCTCCCCAACCGCCCAGAGCCGGCTTTTCCTGCGCTCACCCCCACCTTGGAAGGGCAGACAACCCGTCCCACTTCTCAGACTGAGAAACCGAGGCCCAGCAGGCCTGAGCCCCTTCCCCAAGGTCACAGGGGGGCGCCATCGGCCCACAGCCGCCTCCAGCTCTTAACCGGGGCTGTAGCTGCCTCAGTTTCCCCCCTCGCCCTCCAGTGCACAGGCCAGAGTCCTATCTCGGCATCAGCGGCCTGGCCAGCTTCCAAGGAGGGGCACCTGTCCAGGCCCTCGCCCTTGCCCTAGCCCCAGGCCTGGGGAAGGAAACAGGCCGCCCGGGGAGCCATGAGCATCCAGGCACGCGAAGGGGGCCTGGGGAGTCGCCGCACCCGCCCATTGCACAGGTGCAGACTGAGGCTCGGGGAAGGGGCCGTGCAGAACGTGCGCACTGGCACGCCGTACAGGAAAAGTATGAGGCCGAAGTGATGCTCGGATATTTGCTGTTCTATGGATGTGCCGTGAATCTCACTTCCAATGTAGGATCATTCTCTCCAGTTTCGATTCTATCACTTAGGATT